ACTGTGAAAAATGCAATTAAACCTAAGTCGGATTTTAATGGAATGAAGAATTTTTCCTGAATTCTACTCAGACTTACAAGCGGTTTGTTTCATTTTTGGTGCACACCTTTTTTCCAGTGACTTTTACTCTACTTGAAAAGATTTAAACTGAGCTCCAGCAGGTAGTAGGTATTTATTGTAAAGAGTTAAGCTGAGCTCCAGCAGGTAGTAGGTATTTATTGTAAAGAGTTAAACTGAGCTCCAGCAAGTAGTAGGTATTTACTGCTCATGCTTCCCTTGAACGGAGTGCTGTGCGGCACTGAAATAATTCAAAAGTTTTTCTACTGTGTTTTATCTCCCAATTATTTTGGTCAAGAAATGTACTTTAGAAAGTAGGAAGTTATTTTGTTTAGTAGTCTCCCCAAATTTATAATGCCTTTAGGGAAATGACATGTAGACCTCACAAGAAAGGAGATTTAAGTTTCATTTTAAACGCTAATTTCTCAAGTCTTAGTAAAGATGCCATTTAATTAGTTTTTCAAAATAATAAAGCAGTTTTAGGATACATTGTACTGTAAGGTAAAATGAAAATGCCTCTTAAGTGAGCGTGACACTTCTGCCATTCTGACATTCCCTGTGTCTGTAGAATAACAGTCTTCCCCTGATACTGTCGCCAGGGAGCTACTTACCATGGATAAAAACTTAGACTCACTTCACCAGTGTTAAGTAGAAGACAAGAAGCAATATAAGAAATTAAGCACTGCGTAAGTGATACTTAAAAGTGAAAAAGCTTGAGCAGGGCGGTGGTGGCGCATGCTTTTAATCTCAGCACTTGGGAGGCAGAGGCAAGGGGATCACTGAGTTCAAGGTCAGCCTGGTCTACAAGAGCTAGTATCAGGACAAGCTCCATGGGACCACCTACGCCAACTAGCCTATTCAGCATGAAAAATACCGTGACACCTAAGTTTACTGTGTTTCTGAATGGACAACTTCCAAACATGTCTTTCTGGCTTTCCTAAGGATTCTTTTAATTTATCAATATCTTTTAATAAATGATTGTGTTTAACTAGACTGGCGTCTGCTCTTTTGTATATAAAAACTTCAGCCAGTGTGTTCTTAGTTCACAGTTACCTTCTGCAATGTGTGTGGTTCTGAAACTAGTACTTAAATCCATATTGTTTAGTAGGAACTCTAAAAATACACTGAATTTACACACCTTCCCCAACTTAAGGCTGGTGTTAGATAATCGCAAATTGAATTTTAAAAACTGCACCTTGTTAGTATCAAAATGTTGCCAAGATGTATGATGCTAAACAAGCTCTTGGTACATTATATAATTGATTATATGTGTACATTATATAGTGACCTGTTTAAATATCTTAGACACAATGAACAAGAAAATAAATTGTGAACTTTGTAAATTATAGTGGAGGAAGATTGAAAATACAGATGAATTTATAGTTTATAATAGGTCTTGAAGCTGCTATTGAGAAAACCCAGGTATGGGAGTGATTAAGACAGAAGACGGAAAGGGAAGTGAAGGTGAGTTGCATTTTGGTAGAACATTTAGGGATGATTTTATTGAGAAAGTAATATTTGAGCACAAGCCTTAAAACAGACAGGGTGAGCTAGTTTTTTATGTACTTGTTTATTTACCTTAATTTTTAATTGCTTCTGTTGATGATTATTCAATATGCTTGAAGCCTGTGGAAAACTGGTACTTCCAGAATGAGATGAACATAGGCAGAAAAGAGATAAATGGTCCTAGGAGTGTAGCTTAGTCCATAGAGTGCTCACCTAGTCCACAGAAAGCCTTGGCTCCGGTCCCCCTAACGGCATGAAGTGAGCATCAGTGGCACTTTCCTGTATTCCTAGCACTTGGGAGGTAAAGTCACGGGAACAGGAACCCAAGTTTATATTCAAACCTATCTAAGGATCAAATAAACAGAATGCAAAGCCAGACTGACTGACGTGTTCAGGTAAGCTGGGAGTAAGAAGATGGCATGATCTGGATGAGCCATGTTCTTGGGTATCCAGGTGATGAGAAGCAGAAATCGTCGTCTTCACTGACGGCCGTGCCACTCTGTCTAGTACTCGATTTTTAGACAAGTAAAGCTTGCAGATGTAAAGTGAGGGTGCATTTCCTCACCACACAGTGCTTCTCTCGGTCCACTAACCTCTCATCCTTTAAGCACTATCATTAAAATAAAACACTATTTACTCTTGATTCAAATATTTCCTCTTGTTGTGGAGGCAAAGTTTAGTCATTGATTATGCTTTGATGTCCTAAACATCCACAAATGAACGTTTCTTTCTTGTCTCTTTAACTCTAAGGCAGTTTTAAAGACACTTTCACATGGAAGAGACAGCCCTCCAATCTGTTGAGAAAAGAGTTTGCAACAAATGACGTGGGTTAGAAATAATGTGATCCTCTTAGTTCCAGTGTTTGTCCTGCAGCAATGTTTTTGCTTCCCCACTCCTTGAGCTTACCAATGCCCAGGGTAACTTTATAACTATTTTATATTCATTAGTGCAAGTTTCTGTTGGAGCTGGACTCAGACTGGCACACAGCAGGTCCATCAGTATGCTCTCTACACGATAATAGCATAAACTACAAATAACTGGATCTTACCGTATTGTTCATAATAATCTCAAAATCCAGGACTCAAGTAATCCTCCTGTCTCAACCTCCTACAAATGTACATCACTATTCCCCGCTGTTTTTATGTGTGGGTACTAGATGACAGTTGTCAGTGATCAGTGCACTTACCTGTTCTGTTGTCTTGTGTTACAGTAGCTTCATAGGTTCTATTATTGGCTGAAGATCCAGGCTGAAAATTGTCACAGAAGTAATAGTTAGACCTCAAAATACCATGGAGATTTTTACGAGCAGAAAACTCTGGATCTAGTCTTGTTATCTTACTTTTGTTACAGAATCGTATCATATCCATCTTTAGCAAATTGCATTTCATTATAGAATATTTTACATAATCACTTAAATGAGTTTTAGTAAGATATTGGCATAATGCATTTCAAGTGTTTATCCGTTAGCTTCATCTATTTTTTTTGAGATTTTTGTTGTTGTTGTTGTATTTTTCCATACAGGATTTCTCTGTAGCTTTGAAGCCAAGCCTGTCCTAGAACTAGCTCTTGTAGACCAGGCTGACCTCGAACTCACAGAGATCCGCCCATCTCTGCCCCCCTCCTAAGTGCTGGGATTAAAGGCCTACACACCACTGCCCAGCTGTTAGCCTCATCTTTGCTCATAAGGTGCTTAATTGACAGCAGATATGATACATTCTTTCAGAGGTTATAAACCATTTAAAGCAATTATGTGATAATTGTTTTTAAAATAAAGTACTAAGATTGATTTTGTCAACTCATAATGTAATGTATATTCCTTAAAATAAAGTCCTAAGAACTATATCCTAAGGATATAGGAAGTCAGTGCTGCTTACAATTTCAGAAGGGTCTGCATAGAAAATTTCTAAGTAAGAACTTAAACACATAAAGGCTCCACTAGTACAAAGCATGATAAAGCCAACCGGATTTAAAGAGAGGCGTGTTTACAAGACATCCTTAGGGTCAGAACTACCTGTGAGTGAAAGCAGGGCCTAGGAGAAAGATTGCCAGTTCCGGGTTACCATGACTCAGCTTTACAGGGATTATCAGAATGAAGAAAGTTCGCTCATTGGTCAATGAGGACTAAGGCACAGTTAGGAAGGAGAGACATTAAGTACTAAGGCACAGTTAGGAAGGACAAACAAGTCTTGGTGTTTGTTACTCAGCATGGTGACTAGCTTTTCATTTCTTTACATTTCAAAAAAAATTGTTTTGAATGTTTTTCACCAAAAAAAAAAGGAATAATTATTTGAGGAACTAAGCATGCCTCCCTTGATTTGATCATTGCACAATGTATATACACATTAAAGCAGCATGTGATATTCTGATTGTGGTATTGTACAATGTTTTGTGTCCTCTAAAAAATAATTATCCTGTGCCAGAGAAGTGGTCTGTCCAGTGAAAGTACTTGGCGCACAAGCCTGATGACCTGAGGTGGAAACCTGGAGCCTACCTAAAAACCCAGATGTACACATCTGTAAACTGCTGGTCTCCTATGGAGAGATGGGAGGCAGAAACAGAAACAGTTCAAAAACTCATAGACCAGCTATCCTGAAGTAAGCACACAGACAAGAGAGCCTCCCTCGGAAACAAGGTAGGAGAGGATCCACCCCTTAGAGTTGGCCTCTGACATCCACATTGTGTGCACACACACCTGTACTCACATTTGAGCACAAAAATCATTTAAAAATTAAAAAAGCAATTGCTTTAATTCTAAGAAATATGTCATTTGTATATTCGTTGAAGACTTTTAAAAATATTTACTTGTAAAATTTTATGATATAGTACTATTATTTTGATCTCTTATCAATCGTGTTGACCTTATATTGTGCTAGTAGCTTTTATTTAAAAAAATGGCATTCGATAATCAAATAGCTGTTTGAAAATAATAAATTAATGTAAAACTTTAAAGTTGTATCAAAGAGAGTATTTTAATACATTTTTATAAATTGTGAATCTCCAGTTTATCACAGAAAAAGTTTGTTCAGAACATAGAATCTTATTTGTTTTATTTACTTTATTTATTTAATTATTTAAAATAAAATTTTCATTGATGTTATTTTTCTTTTTTCCCTCTATAGCACTGGGAAGGATTAAGGTTTCTTGGAACAAGCTTTAGAAAATGCTCATTTAAAACATTTACATTCATATTTGATTAAAACATTCATAGAGACAATCCTATAATTGAGGACTCAGAATAAAAATATACTCACAATGCTCAGTGACCAGACACCTTTGCCACTCTCTACTTTGCAGTAGCTGGGAAGCATTGAGGGAAACACAACATAAAAGTGTGGATACCTGCTAATGCACTTAGCACACACAGTGAATGAACTGTTGGGGCAAAAGTTTTGCCCACAGTTCAAGTCTTGTATGAATAAATATTAAAAAACAAGGAAGAAATTTGAATAACTTTTAATAAGCATTTCAAATATTGTCCTTTATTTTGCCATAATCAGAATATTTTTAGTACTGATAAGGAGCATTACAGACGTCTTGCAGGTTTAGAGTTTCCCGTGAGATGCAAATGTCCTCAGTTTCCTAGCTAATGGCTTACCCATTCTACCACTTCTTCAAGGTAGAGGACAACCACTTAGCAGATCCTATTTTATCACGGAAACAACCCACTTAGCCAAGTCTAATAAGGAAATTAAATTTCTTAAAGTATCATTTGTTCCTGACAACTTGTGAGAACTATTTTTTGGGCAAACAGTGATTATGAAACAAACTTTAAACAATCAGTTCTCTCAAAACTGTGTTATTGCCAGCTATCTGTATCATGGAGGATAAACTCCATGTGGGTTGGGGAAGAGAAAGAGCAAGAAGGCATGGCCACTCACATGGAACGTCAGTGGAACTTGTGTAAATCACATACAAACATCCAGCACATGGCTACATGCTGCAGTTGCTGGACAGAGGAAAACAAATGTGAGTTCAGCACAAGCAGACTGTGGTCTCCTTCAGAGATGAGACCTCTGCAGTGTGGTGCTCCTCACCCTTACAGCTGAAGGGAGACTTCAGGCCATCGAAAGATGGAAACAGGTATATACATAGGATATACACGGATGTCTTGTAAAAGACAGAAATTTATGTAACAAAAGTAGTGTTCCTAGCTGAACATATTGGCTCATGTCTGCAATTCCAGCACTTGGGAAACTGAGGCAGGAGCATCATAAAATCAAAGTCAGCCTGAGATACAAATGAGACACTATTACAAAATAAGAAATTGGTAATTTTTCTGTTAACATAATTGTAGCTTCTTAGTTTCAGGCTATTCTTGGTACGGATGCGTTAAAAGATATGTGTTGAATGAAAGTAGCGTCAAATGGCGGTGCAGCAGTGAAAACCTTTGGGGTTAAGTGAGCCTGACAGTGTTAACATGGGCTATTTATTTTAAAAAGAGAAACTATTCAAAGTAGGCAATTGGTAATATTGTATGAAAATATTTTATATATAGATGTCAAAATTAAATATATACATTAATTAAAAGTCTAACATATATTATTATCTTGAAAATATACTTCCCAAGTTGAAAATTCAGTATACAAGCTTTAGTATACATAAATGACAAAAGTGACTGAATACTAAGGTTCAGTATCTTTGGAATAGGTGCATTTCTATCTTTAAAAGTTCTTTTATTTAAAAAGATGTACTATGTTCTTTACTGAAGGCATGTGTTATACATTCATGTTTAACTACAATTTTTGATATCTGTCTTAAGTGCCTTAAGCTATTTTGGCTGCTGCTGTTCTATGCTATGACTGTCTTGTTTCCATGAGCAGTATTCATCACTGTGAGTCCTCCAGCATCTCCAGCTTACAGCAACAGTTCCACTCTTCAGATGGGTCACGATGCGCAGTGGGCCATCACATCATTTTGGTGATAAAACAGTGGTGCCTTTGAATCCTTGTAGGCTTTATTTTTGTAGATATGATATCTTCTGGAATATTTGGGAAACTTTAAAAAGTATTGCAGATGGCATGATTGCTTGACGACATCAGTACAGCTGATCTCTGTCCATATGTATATTCTGACTGCAGCAATGGTTGTATTGTTTGTGCCCATCTCCTAGTACCTTACTGTGGATTTCCCAGGTGCCCTGATCATTTGGTCCAGAGACATCCAGCAACTTCTGGGAGGATTCCAACTCTTCGTTGTATAAACTAGTAGATTCCATTGTATAAACTGGAGGTTGCAACTCCATCTACATGTCCTCCGTTTATATACTGCCTTTCAAGATTTTATTCCAGCAGGTCTTTATCTCTCTCAGCAGTCTCTTCAGGAAGCATGGGTCATTCTTTTTCTGCTCCTTTGGATTCTTTTCTTCCTAAAGAAATAAATTCATAAAATTTAATTTACTATTTTAATAAAATGTGCCTCAAAATATTTGCTTTTCATTTTTTATCATATTAGAGTATCCCTGACATTTCATATATTAGGATAACAACTCTTCCATGACATCTTAAAACTATGACCTATGATGATTATGATTTCTGACGAACAGGAAAGGCCAGTCTGCTTGTGCTCAGCATCTTGTTTGTCACTTCCACCCTGCCTCAGTGTACACAAGAGTCGGAACACTCATAAAAGATCTAGTTTTTACATGATTTGATTGAACATGTAAAAAATTTTAGTGAACGGATTTAACCCAAAAAGTAATTAGATTAATAATAATTTGTCTGATTCAACTGGTACCTTAGAGTCTGCTACAAAAACGTAGTGCTTACTAAAGTAGGACTGCCATCTGCCTAATAATTTGGTTTTCTCACCTCATTAAGAACTTTTAAATTCTCTTGGTACAGTGTAGAGAAGAGGTGCCTGCATACAGCAGATTCAGGAGGGCGGTGGCCATACTTCCTCTGAGCCATGTGGCATAGTATAGTGAAAGATTCCTCATTTAGTGAAGAACCAGTTAGTGAATATTTTCTAGGGTAGATATTACTCTCAGCACTCCACATATTTTACTTTATTCTCTTTACTTGATAACCCTACGACCTTGATGGTTTCACCTCTGTCCTGAAATGAGGATACTAAGTCACAAAGAGGGAAGAGCTGGTGGTGACACAGTAGTAATGGCTACGTCTTGATCTCATCTCTTTTTAATTTAGTCACAAATTCATATCTCTACTAGTTATATGCTTAAGTAATACCAGCATGTAGCTTTTAAATAACTTCAAAGAGTAGATGAGAGATTTTGAAGATAGATATGGGGAAACTTTTTATTAATCTTTTCAGCGGGGACAACAGAACATTCTTAAAGTACCGATGGAAGTACACTTGACTAAGTTGCTATAATTGGATAGGAGAAGTTCAATTGGTACTTCATGGTATTAGTATCGGTATAGTACACAGCCATAGGTTTTGCGTCCTCAAATACACTGCAATTTGAGTATGCTTGAAGACTGAGGGGATGGCCCTGAACATGTGTGCACTCTTTCTTGTCATTGTTCTTCAAACTGCACACATCAAAACAACTAAATATTTATCATTTACTTTCCTGTCAGCATTTTAAGAAGCCCACTTGCAATTTAGAGCATATAGGAGTATATGTGTAGATTATATACGGAAACGCCATCATTTTCTGTAAGAAATGTAAGCATTAGCTGAATTTTGTGAGGAGATTTCCCAACCATTCACCATGTACAACAATACATAACATGGGAAAAGTTGGCGCAAACAAACAAACAAACTTGTTTTTATTTCTGTGATTCTGCAGATTAAAATATTCTAAACTGGTATAGGAGATTCTTTTTCTAAATTCTTAGTCCCAGGCTCTTTGCATATTTATCTTGTTTCTGTCTCACATATTTGTGTACTTTGAATTTTATAATTCAAGTTGGAATGCTTAGGACTTCCTAATGCCCAGTGTATGCAAACTCACCTACTGCCTCTGCTCCCATGTGTATGTTGATCAAAACAACAATAATGGAAATATGCGAAAGAATCCATCACCCAGCATGCTCATTGTTCAATGTCTCAGACTGGTTAGTCTTTTTGAGCAGATTCAAAAGGGCTTTCTGGCTTTGTAGCCAGGGCAAGAGAGCTTCCCTTTGAAAGGAAATGACATCATCCTAACAGGTATGATAGATATTTGGTTCACAGTAAACAATCTACGCTTACCTTGCTTGTGCAGTTCACTAGTGTCTGTGTGCCTTGGGAAACTGTGAGTAAGTGGATATTGAATTCTTCACTGATATTCATTTTAAGAAATTGATTCAACTTGCGAGCAGCACGATTTAGAAAAGCAGCTTCCTATTAGAAAAGAAATCAAAAGGGCTGTGTAAGAATTTTTAGTTTGTCAATTAACATAAAGCTAGAGCCCTGTCACTTAGTAAAACCCCACCTCCACCCCAGCTTTCTGTTCTGGTTAATCACGTGACTGCCAAGTAACAGGAATGAAACTGCTTGGCTCTGAGGAATCAGAACATGAAGTGCCTACACTTTGGTTTAATGATTATCTGGCTTTTAAATAGTCGTTTCTCCACTGCGTGCATGTGACTTTATCGTTTGTGGGGAGCACATTGCAAGACTATATACTTTTAACAGGATAACCAAAGAAGAAGGCTGCTGGAGACACGAGCGAGGCAAGGTATGTACGGGTTTTCTGCTACCCTTTTTAAAAATTAGAGTTCTGAAAGAATAGCTGATAGTAAAATTTAAAAAAAAGAAAGAAAAGAAAAGCCATGTAACTTAAGCCATAGGCTTTTCTGATAAATTAGTTAATAAATAAAAAAAATGATGGTTTTGTGATACTGTGGTGTTAATCACTATGTTTTGTAAGAAGAGTATTAAAGAACGCCTCTTTTTCTTTAGGGGAAAATTACAAACTTAAAAGGTTTTATTCCCATTGTAATTGACCAACTGAGTTGATTTGGGCATAAACTCCAGCAAATACTAAAAATAAAAATTTCAAGTTGTCTAAAAGTAGTGACGTGTGTGTGTGTGTGTCTCTCTGTGTGTGTGTGTCTCTGTGTGTGTGTGTGTGTATTGCAATCACTTTAACAAGACCTTTTCTTCATACATTTTTTTTGGGGGGGGGAGACATTTGTGCCTTAATATTCAGAGTTTTTAGTATTTTCAAGGTGAAAAACAGGAAAGTAGAAGAATAAATTATCTACTTTTTAATCTATCATGGACAGGATATTGGTAAAATTAACATACAATAGACCACAGTATGATATAATAGATGAATGATAATCCTGTCACTAAGATAAAAAGATTATGGCATTTATTTAATTATCTAACAAGTTTGTATAAAATCAAGCTCATATGATAAATTCCAAATTATCATTACCTTTGCATCATCACATGGATGTTTTTTAAAAAAGTTTGGTTCTTTATTTGGGCAATTGTTACCATTTCCTGTCATTTTATCCTGTAATAAACAATATAAAACAATATGGTTAACATTGAAAATGTCTCTAACGTAGTTGCAAAATGACATTTTAATATCCGGTATTAATATGAACACTTTATGAAAAGCAAATTTCATAAGCCTGATTCTTCTAACTAGGCATCAAAAATAGTTTTCTTTACATGAGAAATAAGAAAACATGTACAAGATCACCTCAAATAAGATTCAGTAACTTTTAAGAACAAGTTGAACTAGCTCTGTCCAACAAACTAGCAATTCCAGGCTCTTGTACTTCTCCAAGACTCCAGACGGTTTTAGTCTGGTTGATATTGTGGCAAATATAGTAATATTTACTGTATATATAGTAAATACAGTAAACAGAGCAAGGGCAAAATTAGTAAAGGGCTTGCGATGTTTGTCTGCCACTCAGGAAAGTGTAGCTTGTTCTTCTTGCTTGCACAAAGGATGAGAGCTTTGCTGGCTTCTAAATAGATGTTTTACTGTTTTATCCGTAGGAAGTTGTGCCTGAACACATAATTGTTTAAAGATTCTGCACTTACTGATGGCCCTTGTTCAAAGTTTTCTGCAAATCCTGAATTGAAGCTAATTAGGGAACAGTGACCTTGTTTCCTGTAGTATTTGGCGCATGGGTCACACTGCCTTCTTCGAGCATGGAAACTTCTCACCTTTGGAAAAGCATGCTTTGGCGATGTGTCTGTGCTAGCCATGCAGTGTGTAGTTCATACTCGAAACATGACAGTTGCAGGACATGTAATTCCTAAAACTATCCTCGAATTATAGATAAACATAGTAAGAAATTATTTGTCTACTAAGTCATTTTTCTATCAACTTTTATTTAATCAAATTGCATGTACAGTTTTCTTTGGTCAAACATACAAAATCTCATATGAAATACATCACCCAGTTAAATTCTTGAAGCATTCTAGCAAATTTCATAAGAGTATTTTAAAATCTTTTTTGGTTAGGCCAATGCTCTGGAAAACTAATACAATTCAGCTCTGTATGCCTGCAAAAGAGGATGCTGTACTGACTGACTTGCTTGCCACAAGTTTGACCAAGAACTAACTATGATGGCACTATACTTTTAACATATAAGATGTCAGAGCGGCCTTCTGAAGCTGTTATGCAAGGCCATCTAGAGTTTTAGTATTCAGGCATCTGTACTGGCCTGCCCCTGGGGTCCTGCAGGACAGGTCCTCAACTGTAGCCACTAAGAGTACCTCATGTGTACATTTGTTATGTTTCTTTTGTTGTTGTTTTGTTTGAATTTTTTTTTTTTTGGTTTCTTTTTTCTTTTTTTCCTGTGTATCCTTTGCTGTCCTGGAGCAAGCTCTTGTAGACCAGACTGGCCTCGAACTCACAGAGATCTGCTTGCCTCTGCCTCCCAAGTGCTGGGTTTAAAGGCTTGCGCCACCACTGCCTGGCTCATTATGTTGTTCCCTTTGAAAAGGTAGACCTTAACCCTGTCTGGAAAAAGAAATGGGGGGGGGACCTTGCCCACTTCTCTTCTCTCTGTTTCTTCCCTCCCCCTGCCTCTTCCTTTCTGAGCTCTGTTATGTGGCAGCTTTCTCTTTCCCACTGCGTTTTTTAAATAAACAACACATAGCAGTTCTGAGTATGAATCCACAGCAAAAGAGAAAGTTCCTTTCTTGTGATTTAGCAAATACCAACATAATAGATTCTTATAGGCATTTTGGTTCATTTCAACATTATTCCAACTTTATTTTAAATTCGGAAAACCCACAACAGAAGTACCAAAACATTGTGAGCTATTGTTTGAATTTGTTCCTAGCAAAGGTCTTTGATTTCATTAGGTTGTACCTTTCAGTTTTATTTCTAATACTTGTTTAACCCTCTTGTCTTAATTACTCTTCTGTTGCTGTGAAGAGACACCAGGATCAACACAAACTCATATAAAAAGCGGTATTTAAGTGAGGGGCTTGATACAGTTTCAGAGATTTAGTCTGTGACAATCATGGCAGGAAGCAGACAGACAGGGTACTGGGTAGTGGCTGGGAGCCTTACGTCCTCCCTCATCCACAGGCAGCATGCAGAGACTAGGCCTGGCGCCGTAGTTGAAACCTCAAAGCCCTCCATCACCTCTCCAACAAAGCCACAACTTCTAATTTTTCCCAAATTATTCCACCAACTGGGAACTAAATATTCAAATATATGAGCCCATGGGCTGGTCTCATTTAAACCACCATATTCCATTCCCCAGTCCCCATAGCCTTGCAGCCACTTCATAATGTTAAGTGCATCCAGTCCAACTTCAAAAGTCTCCATGGTCTATGAGCCTCGAGACTTTTAACATTCAAAGTCCTGAGTCTCTTTGAGACTTAAGGCAATTTCTTAATTGTAAAACCCTGTAAAGGCAAAAATCAAAATACTGATCACATACTTCCAACACACAGTGGCACAAAACATATATTACCAGAGCACAAGGGAGAAACAGGAACATATTAATGAACCACTGGACCAAAGAAGGTCCTGAAACCCAGCAGGGCAAACTCCAAATTCTGTATATCTCTTCCCAATGTCAAAGGGCTGAATAGATAGCTCTTCATATCTCCCACACCTTCCAGCTTTCCTGACTGAAAACAGCCTTATCTTTCCTGGGCTGGTTCCATAGCCTGTGTTACTTCTCCTCTTGGCATGTACCCCAGGCTGTAGCTTCTCCAGCGTTTTGGGATCTCCATCACAATCCAGGCTTCACCTTCACAGCTTTCTGCAATGGCTTCCCTGGGCCTCTATGCAAGGACTCCCTTGCCACATGCCTCACCTGAATGGCTTTTCTAAACCACGGAGGCAGATTCTATAATCCCTTTCCTGTATTATTCTTGATTCTAAAGCCAGAACTACCATTTGCTGGGGTTGGAATCTGACTGTAAAGCCAGAAGTTCTCCTACTTGCTGGCATTGGAACCTGGCTCCTCCTCGAATTACATTTGCATAAACCTTCCATTATTGTTCAGCCAAGGAAATCCTTCAGACCTTTCCTTTCACATTTTTGCAGGATTAGCTGGGACGGGGTCTTGCCTGGAGGTTACCACTCTCTTTATTCCTTTCAGCACCAGGCCTTTCAGCTTCTCATCTGCTTGCGACCCAATACTAAATTTCTTGCTTCCTTTTTCCTCCTCAAACTGTACATTTTGTATTTCTCTTTGCAGTGCTTTCTTCTCTTCGTTGTAGATGTGCGTGAGTGATCGCTTGGCACGGTTGATACAACACCATCTTGAAATCTCCTGTGCCAATGCTATTAATTCAAAATTCTTCAATTTAGCCTCAGGTGGATTTTTTGACAAGGGCAGAAAGCATCTCTAGTCTTTGCCAAAATATCACAAGAATGGTCTTTAGGGCAACTGGTGCTCTCTGAAATTCCTTGAGCAATGCCAGCATAGTTGAAATTGTCCTCAGCACTACTGTCTTCCATGTTTTTACTACAATGGCCTATTGAACCACACTTAAACATTTAACTGACTTTTCTTGTCCAAAGTGTCACTGTTATCAATCTTCCGAACAACAGCATGGTCGGGCCTGGTATACTTTTATTTACAAACACTGATCATAGGACATACCCTCTATATAATTTTAAAGTATATTTATTCTTTAATTTGCTTCAGTGTGCTTTTCTATTTTGCATTGACATGATATGAGGCTCTAATTTCCAATTTATATTTTAGTCTTTATTTTTCCCTGAAAATCTAAGGAGCTCAACATTCTTCCAATTTTTGCTTCTCTAATACTGTATTAATCTGGGCTCCTTTTATGTTAGTTTCTTAAAGAATGTTAAGAAGAACAGTTTTAACATTTTCTACTGCTTTTCTGGGTAACAATATCCTTTTATGTTAGTTTCTTAAAGAATGTTAAGAAGAACAGTTTTAGCATTTTCTACTGCTTTTCTGGTAATCTATTTGTTCAGTGTATGCATGTAAGAGAGTACATTTGTGTGCTTACAACAGCATATGTCTGAAAGATAGAGGAGCACTCTTGCGAGTTCTTTCCTATCGCCCGTGTGACCCAGAGACTGAACTCATGTCTGTAGGGCTACACGTAAGTACCTTTACCCACTAAAACATCTCATTGGCCCTAATCTTTTTACTTAAATTCTTCCAGTTTACTTTGCTTATGCACTGTGTTTGTACTTCATTTTTGGAAGAATCAATAAATAGTATTTCTGACTTTCTAAGTGGAGGCTAAAGCTGATCATTTTTCAACTAATACTTAGAAGTGCCTCCCACTTCATGGGGGAATGGGCCCACTTCCTGTGGCTGCTCTAGCAAATTACCAGAAGCATGTTGGTTCAAAAAAAAAAAAAAAAAGATAGAAATGCATGCTGTTCCATTCCTAGAAATAAGAAATTTAAAATCAAAGTATTGGCTGAAGGGTCTAAGGAAGGATCCATAATCTGGCTCTTATATCTACTGCTGCTTGCCAACATCCCTAGTATTCCTGCCTTATATTTGTGTCTGTCTCTGGTGTCTCACGTTTCTGTATTATAAGGAGATGTATTATAAGTACATAGCAGAGTTCCTCTGATTTGTCCAGTGTAATTTCTCCATGTCAAATCTTTGATTTAATCACATTTTCAAGGACTCCTTTGCCATAAATTTCCATGGACTAGAATTTGGTATGTTTGAATGACATAATTTATTGCAGAAAAATATATTTTTTGCTCATAAATATTGGATTTGACCTAAAAACTGGATCTTCAGTTGTAGACATAAACAGATTAGACCAGAGAACACTTCATTCTTGAAATTGGCCTCTTCTGATTTTTCTGTATGGGGACAAGCATCAGGAAGCAGCTGGTTCATGATCTATCACTGCATAATACATTTCAGTCAAGGTAGCATAAATAATAAAAGCTTTGTGATTTCTGAAGGTTAGAATATGGGAGAACCTTCTGGATCTACATCTGCCTTGAGACAGTTAAGATGTTGGCCTACCTGTAATCATCAGGTTTTGATAAACACTTGAGTATTTACTCTCAAGGTGCCT